AAAAACTCCTGGCTGTCTTTTTAAGACCCCCCGGCTGTTTTCAAACCCCTGGTTTTCTTCAAGGGCTCCTGGTGTCTTCAAAACCCTGGGTGTTCCCAAAACCCCCGGCTGCTTTCAAGGGCTCCCGGCTGTCTTCAAGATTTCCCCCCCCGTCTTCAAGACTCTTGGCTGTCTTCAAAAGTCCTGTTGGGCTTCAAACTCCTGGCTGTCTTCAAGCCCCTGGCTGTTTTTAAGGGCTCCCGGGGTGTTTTCAAGACCCCCGGGTTGTCTTCAAGGGCTTCTGGCTGTTTTTAAGGGCCCCCGGCTGTTTTTTAAAACTCCTGGCTGGCTTCAAGACCCCCAGCTGTCTTTAAGCCCCGGCTGTCTTTAAGACTCCTGGCAGTCTTCAAATCCATGGCTTTTTCAAAAACTCCTGGCGTTTTCAAAACTCCCGGCTGTCTTCAAGACCCATGGCTGTCTTTAAGGGGGGGCAGTCTTCAAGATCCAAAAGCTGTCCCTTTAAACTCCCCGGGTGTCTTCAAGGGCCCCCGGGTTTTCTTCAAGACTCCTGGCTGTCTTCAAAACCCCTGGTTTTCTTCAAGGGCTCCCCCGGGTGTCTTTAAGATCCCCGGCTGTTTTTTAAGCCCTGGCTGGTTTTAAGCCCCCGTTCCCTGGCTTTTCTTCAAGAATCCTTGGCTGTCCCTTTAAGATACATGGCTGGTTTCTTAAGGCCCTGGGGTGTCTTCAAGACCCTTGGCTGTTTTCCCAAAACCCCCTTGGGTGTCTTCAAAAACCTCCCGGGTGTCTTCAAGAAGGGAAAACCTGGCTGTCTTCAAAATCCGGGGTCCCTCCCTCATGTAAATTTGTGTAAATAAGGCTGTAAATGAGGTAAATAAAGCGGAAAACAACGTTTTTACAATGGGGCGGTCGCTTACACACTGAGAACTGGGCGCTTAAAAACCAGTAAAAACCCGCTGTTTTTCCTTTTTTAATTGCTTAATTTTCTCCTTGGGTATTTTAGGGGTTTTTACCCTGCCAACCATGCCATGGGGGGGGAGGGTATTGGGCATTTTTGGGTATGGGTTAGTGTGGGGAGGGAATCAAAATATTCTTGGGGGGGTTTGGTAATTTTTAGGGAGGAAGTAATTTGTTAAGTTTTTTAGTCCTAAGATTGTAAAGGTGCTGACGAGGGGGGGTTTTGACCAGGGAACTGGAGTTCAATCTTGAAAGTGACAGTTTTTGTTAGCCAAGACGTGGATGGGGTTCAAGGTTTCAGAGTCAACCTTCGGGGACTCTAGTAACCCTTTAAATCCGAGTGCACCTTTTGTGTACTCGATACACCCGTGAACTCCCAGTCACCTTCTGTGTACCCGGTACACCTGTGAACTCTGAGTGCCCCCCTTCGTGTCCTGAGTGCACCTGTGAACTCTGAGTCACCTTTTGTGACTCTGGAAAACCTGTAAATCTGATGCACCCTTTTGTGTACTCTGAGTAACCTGTGAATCAGTGCACCTTCTGTGTATCTGAGTACACCCCGTGAAACCCGAGTGGGACCTTCGTGTACTTGACAGTCATATAAACGTCAAGGAGAATAATTACAAACTTGGGCTGTCATTTGCAGTTGACAGCAAAAATAAAGAACAACTTCCATGAACTTACCTATGAAGGAGACGCATCATCAGTCCATCTACATCAGTTACTTTAAAAATAGGAAAACTGTATGTGTCCCCCTAGGGGGAGCTTTAGTCAAAAAATAGAATGTATTTGTAGACAGCAGGAGTGGCGAAACAATCAGTCCCCCAAGAAGTGAAGCTAAAAATCTCTTATAACTGCCGGGGATAGATGTACGGTGGTTTTTGGGGGGGGGGGGGGGGGTACTAATGGGTCCAGGGCTAACCTTAAATTACAGGTACATAAAAAGGGGGCCAGGGGGCTGTACCTTAAAATTTTAGAGGGGACATAAGGGTCCAGGGACTGACCTTAACATTACAGAGGACTAATGGGCCCGGGACTGTACCTTTTCTTTCAGGGTACATAATGGGTCCAGGGCTGTACCCTTAACATTAAAAGAGGTACAAATGGGGGCCCAAAGGGGCTGACCTTAACATTTCAGAGGTACTAATGGGGCCCGGGACTGTACCTTAACATTTCAGAGGACTAAGGGTCCCGGGACTGTCCTTAACATTACAGGTAATAATGGGCCAGGGGCTGTACCTTAAATTACGAGGTACATAATGGGCCAGGGACTGTACCTTAACATTACGAGGGACATAATGGTCAGGGGCTGTACCCTTAACTTTTCGAGGTACATAATGGGGGCCCGGGCTGTACCCTTTAAAATTTACAGAGGTACATAATGGGTCCAGGGATGTACCTTAAAATTTCAGAGGTACTAATGGGTCCAGGGACGGTCCTTAACATTTAAAGGTACATAAAGGGTCCAGGGACTGTACCTTAACATTAAGAGGACAAATGGGTCCAGGGGACTGTACCTTAACTTTCAGAGGGACAAATGGGTCCGGGACTTACCTTAACATTACAGAGGGACATAATGGGGCAGGGACGTCCTTAACATTTTAAAAGGTACATAATGGGGCCAGGACTGTACCTTAACATTACAGAGGTAATAATGGGTCCCCGGGACTGTACCTTAAAAAACAGAGGTACATAATGGGTCCAGGACGTACCCTTTCATTACTGAGGTACAAAAAGGGTCCAGGGATGTACCAAACATTTTCAGAGGTACATAAGGTCCCGGGACTGTACCTAAAAATTTTCAGAGGTACATAAGGGTCCGGGACTGTACCTAACTTACAGGGTAATAATGGGTCCAGGGACTGTACCATAACATTTTGAGTACATAATGGGCCAGGACTTCCATAACTTACAGAGGGACATAATGGGTCCATGGGCTGACCCCCAAATTACAGAGGTACATAATGGGTCCAGGGACGTTCAAAATTACGAGGGACATAATGGGTCCGGGGGCTGTCCCCAACATTTCAGAGGTAATAATGGGCCCGGAAAAATGTACTCAACATTTAAGAGGTACTAAGGGTCCAGAACGTACCTCAACATTACGAGGGACATAATGGTCCAGGGATGTACCTCAACATTACAAGGACATAAAGGGTCCGGGACTGTACCCCAACATTAAGAGGTAATAAGGGTTCCAGGAACGTACCTCAACATTACGAGGTACATAATGGGTTTCCCGGGACAGTACCTTTAAAATTACAGAGGTACAAATGGTCAGAGACTGTACCTCAAATTACAGAGGACATAAGGGTCCCGGAACTGTACCTCAACATTACGAGGAAAAAATTGGGTCCCCGGGACTGTACCTCAACATTACAGAGGTCAAAGGGTCCAGGGGCTGTACCCTTTAAATTACAGAGGTAAATATGGGTCCAGGGGTGTACCCAACATTACGAGGTACAAATTGGGGTCCCGGGACTGTACCCAACATTCAGAGGTACAAATTGGGTCCCGGGACTGTACCTCAAAATTACAGAGGGACAAATTTGGGTCCAGGGACTGTACCTCAAACATTACAGAGGTACAAATTGGGTCCAGGGCGTACCTCAACATTACAGAGGTACAAATTGGGTCCAGGGGGCTGTACCTCAACATTACAGAGGTACATAATGGCCAGGACTGACCTCAACATTAAAGGTAATAATGGGTCCAGGGAAAGTACCCCCAAATTTTAAAAATACAAATTTGGGTCCAGGGACTGTACCTCAACATTACGAGGTACATAATGGTCCAGGACTGTACCTTTCATTACAGAGGGTACTAATGGGGCCAGGGACTTAATCAAAATTTCAGGTCATAAGGGGTCCAGGGGCTGTCCTCAACATTACAGAGGTACAAATTGGGTCCAGGACTGTCCTCAAAAATTCAGAGGTACAAATTGGGGCCAGGGGGGTGTACCCCCAACATTACGAGGGACAAATTGGGTCCCGGGATGTACTCAACATTACAGAGGTTTTCATAATGGGCCCGGGACTGTACCTCAACATTACAGAGGTACATAATGGGTCCAAAACTGTACCTCAACTTACAGGTACAAAAATTGGGGGCCCGGGGGTGTACCCCAACATTTCAGAGGACATAATGGGGCCCCGGGACTGTACCTTAACTTCAGAGTACATAAGGGCGGGACTGTACCTCAACATTACAGGGTACAAAATTTGGGCCAGGGACTGTACCTCAACATTACAGAGGTACAAAATTTGGGTCCAGGGACTGAAAACCTCAACATTACAGAGGACAAAAAAGGTCCCGGGGCTGTCTCAAAATTTTCAAAGGGACAAATTGGGGGCCAGGGGCTGTACCAAATTAAAGGGGAACAAGAAGGTTCGGGCTCCTAAACCCAACAAAAAAACGGGAAATTTGGCTTCTCTAAGCCCAACAATGACGGCAATTGGCCCCTAAAACCCAACAATGACGGTAAAAGGCTCCTCTAAGACCCAACAATGACGGCAATTGGCTCCTCTAAGACCCAACAATGACGGTAATCGGCTCCTCTAAGACCCAACAATGACGGTAATCGGCTCCTCTAAGACCCAACAATGACGGCAATTGGCTCCTCTAAGACCCAACAATGACGGTAATCGGCTCCTCTAAGACCCAACAATGACGGTAATCGGCTCCTCTAAGACCCAACAATGACGGTAATTTGGCTCCTCTAAGACCCAACAATGACGGTAATCGGCTCCTCTAAGACCCAACAATGACGGCAATTGGCTCCTCTAAGACCCAACAATGACGGCAATTGGCTCCTCTAAGACCCAACAATGACGGCAATTGGCTCCTCTAAGACCCAACAATGACGGTAATCGGCTCCTCTAAGACCCAACAATGACGGTAATCGGCTCCTCTAAGACCCAACAATGACGGTAATCGGCTCCTCTAAGACCCAACAATGACGGTAATCGGCTCCTCTAAGACCCAACAACGACGGTAATCGGCTCCTCTAAGACCCAACAACGACGGTAATCGGCTCCTCGTCCAGCTGCAGATCTTAACACCCAACATAAACACAAGATGGCGGAGCTACACCTGGACTCGGACATCAGAATTTGGGTATTTTTGCCCATCGTTCTGATCACCTTCCTGTGTGGTATACTGAGACACTATGTCAGTGTTCTGATCTCCACTCAGAAGAAGGTAGACCTCACCCAGCTGCAGGATAGGTCAGTATACCTTTGTTATACCAGGGTATACCTGTTATGCCAGGGTATACCTGTTATGCCAGGGTATACCTGTTATACCAGGGTATACCTGTTATACCAGGGTATACCTGTTATACCAGGGTATACCTGTTATACCAGGGTATACCTGTTATACCAGGGTATACCTGTTATACCAGGGTATACCTGTTACACCAGGGTATACCTGTTATACCAGGGTATTCCTTGCTGTTATGCCAGGGTATACCTGTTATACCAGGGTATACCTGTTATAACCTGTTATACCAGGGTATACCTGTTATACCAGGGTATACCTGTTATACCAGGGTATACCTGTTATTGCCAAGGTATACCTGTTATACCAGGGTTATACCTGTTTTACCTGTTATACCAGGGTATACCTGTTATACCAGGGTATACCTGTTATACCAGGGTATACCTGTTATACCAGGGTATACCTGTTATACCAGGGTATTCCTTGCTGTTATGCCAGGGTATACCTGTTATACCAGGGTATACCTGTTATACCTGTTATACCAGGGTATACCTGTTTTACCAGGGTATACCTGTTATACCAGGGTATTCCTTGCTGTTATGCCAGGGTTATACCTGTTATACCAGGGTATACCTGTTATTACCAGGGTATACCTGTTATACCAGGGTATACCTGTTATACCAGGGTATACCTGTTATACCAGGGTATTCCTTGCTGTTATGCCAGGGTATACCTGTTATACCAGGGTATACCTGTTATACCAGGGTATACCTGTTATACCAGGGTATACCTGTTATACCAGGGTATACCTGTTATACCAGGGTATACCTGTTATACCAGGGTATACCTGTTATACCAGGGTATACCTGTTATACCTGTTATACCAGGGTATACCTGTTATACCAGGGTATACCTGTTATACCAGGGTATGCCTGTTATACCAGGGTATACCTGTTATACCAGGGTATACCTGTTATACCAGGGTATGCCTGTTATACCAGGGTATGCCTGTTATACCAGGGTATGCTGTTATACTAGGGTATACCTGTTATACCAGGGTATACCTGTTATACCAGGGTATACCTGTTATACCAGGGTATTCCTTGCTGTTATGCCAGGGTATACCTGTTATACCAGGGTATACCTGTTTACCAGGGTATACCTGTTATGCCAGGGTTTTACCTGTTATACCAGGGTATACCTGTTATACCAGGGTATACCTGTTATACCAGGGTATACCTGTTATGCCAGGGTATACCTGTTATACCAGGGTATACCTTTTATACCAGGGTATACCTGTTATACCAGGGTATACCTGTTATACCAGGGTATACCTGTTATGTCAGGGTATACCTGTTATACCAGGGTATACCTGTTATTACCAGGGTATACCTGTTATACCAGGGTTATACCTGTTATGCCAGGGTATACCTGTTATACCAGGGTATACCTGTTATACCAGGGTATACCTGTTATACCAGGGTATACCTGTTATACCAGGGTATTCCTTGCTGTTATGCCAGGGTATACCTGTTATACCAGGGTATACCTGTTATACCAGGGTATACCTGTTATACCAGGGTATACCTGTTATACCAGGGTATTCCTTGCTGTTATACCAGGGTATTCCTTGCTGTTATACCAGGGTATACCTTGCTGTTATACCAGGGTATTCCTTGCTGTTATACCAGGGTATTCCTTGCTGTTATGCCAGGGTATTCCTTGCTGTTATACCAGGGTATACCTGTTAAACCAGGGTATATCTTGCTGTTATACCAGGGTATACCTTGCTGTTATACCAGTGTATACCTGTTAAACCAGGGTATATCTTGCTGTTATACCAGGGTATACCTTGCTGTTATACCAGGGTATACCTTGCTGTTATACCAGGGTATACCTTGCTGTTATACCAGGGTATACCTGTTAAACCAGGGTATTCCTGTTATACCAGGGTATACCTTGCTGTTATACCAGGGTATACCTTGCTGTTATACCAGGGTATACCTGTTAAACCAGGGTATATCTTGCTGTTATACCAGGGTATACCTTGCTGTTATTCCAGGGTATACCTTGCTGTTATACCAGGGTATACCTGTTATACCAGGGTATACCTTGCTGTTATACCAGGGTATACCTTGCTGTTATACCAGGGTATACCTTGCTGTTATACCAGGGTATTCCCTGCTGTTGTACCAGGGTATACCTTGTTATACCAGGGTATACTTTGCTGTTATGCCAGGGTATACCTTGCTGTCAGTATACCTTCTGTTTTACCAGGGTATACCTTGTTGTCAGTATACCTTCTTTTATACCAGTGTATACCTTGCTGTTATGCCAGGGTATAACTTTATCAGTATACCTTCTGTTATATCAGGGTATACCTTGTTTTACCAGGGTATACCTTTGTCAGTATACCTTTCTGTTATACCAGGATATACCTTGTTGTTTTACCAGGGTATACCTTTGTCAGTATACCTTCTGTTATACCAGGATATACCTTGCTGTTTTACCAGGGTATACCTTTGTCAGTATACCTTCTATTATACCAAGGTATGCCTTTCTTGCAGTATACCTTGTTGTCAGTATACCTTCATTTATACCAAGATATATCTTTCAGTATACCGTGAGTTATACCAGGATATACCCTGATGTTAGTATACTTTCACTTATACCGGGGTGTACCTTTCAGTGTATCATGCTGTTATACCAGGGTACACCTTACTCTCAGTATTCCTTCACATATACCAGGGTATACCTTGCTGCAGTATAGGTCAGTATACTTTCGGTTATACCACTATATACCCTGCTGTCAGTATACCTTGTTATACCACTGTATACCAGCGGTAGGTCAGTATGCCTTCATTTTCACCAGTGTATACTCTTTTGTGGTATAAGCTAGTATCCCTTGCTGCCAGCATAATTTCAAGTATACCAATGTATTCCTTGCTTTTAGTATAATTTCAGGTATACCAGCTATGGGATAGGTCAATGTACCTTCAGATATATCAGTGTATACCTTCAATTATACCAGTTTTATACCAGCAGTAGTATAGGTCAATATGCCTTCGGATGTACCTATATATACTCACTGCATAAGTCAGTATACCTGTAGATATACCAGTGTATATCTAGCTGTCAGTATACCTTCAGATATACCGGTGTATACCCAGCTGCTGGTTGAGATTCACCTCGTTCGTGGGGTCGTCCTGCCCTCGTTACCTGACAGCTGTCCATTTAAAACGACCGACCCTAATACACATTATAGACTGGTTGTGACTCACGGAATCGTGAGAACATGTCAGTAAATTATGGACCAGGCAGGACCTGAATCCCTGGGTCTTTCGTGTGTAATATTCCCGTGTCATGTAGGGGGGTATTGGTTAGGGGAATATAGGGGTAAGCGGGAGGGAGTCAGTAGGTAGGTGACAGGCGAGGCAGTAGGAGGGATGAGTGCGGAGGTAGGTAGGTAATGTGACAGGAGAGGTGAGCGGTAGGAGAGATGATTAGCGGAGGTAGGTAGGTAATGTGAGGTCACTGGTGACTACACCTTCACCTCTCATTACTCTACCCACCATCCTACTCTCCCTCTCACTACTTTAACTAAACATAAATAAATGGAGAAAATAACGGGGACCGTGAATATTACTATTCTACTCAAACACAGTTTATTAAGTCCTTGTACAATAATATATTTGGGAACAGGAGAACATTATTGTGGTTTAGATAAACGGGATGGTATGTATAAGCAGTGAGACAGGGAACACAATCAACTTGACCAAAATGAATGTAACTTACAATATAGTTCAGAGGACAGTTCATCACAGGAACTAAGCCACAGGTCCCAAGACCTACACAGCACGAGTACTGCGCCAAGCCAGTACTCTGCCCAATGCCTCCAACAGTCTCCTCCAGAGACTTCAGCAGCCTTCTCCCGAGCCCTGCACCCCAGCAGCAGCTCCGCTCGAAGTCTCTGCTCAGGAGCTCTGCACCCCAGCAGCAGCTCCGCTCGAAGTCTCTGCTCAGGAGCTCTGCACCCCAGCAGCAGCTCCACTCGAAGTCTCTGCTCAGGAGCTCTGCACCCCAGCAGCAGCTCCGCTCGAAGTCTCTGCTCAGGAGCTCTGCACCCCAGCAGCAGCTCCACTCGAAGTCTTGCTCAGGAGCTCTGCACCCCAGCAGCAGCTCCGCTCGAAGTCTCTGCTCAGGAGCTCTGCACCCCAGCAGCAGCTCTGCTCGAATCCCTTGATCATGCTCTTCCTTGGGCTTTTATGGTGGTCCAAGCACCCTCCACAACCACGTGTACGACCTGACGCCTGGATTTGACGCCGTCAAGAACAAAAGACCTCAGACGTGGGCGTGGCTACCCGACATTTACCAAGGCAGGTGTGACCATATAATTGGTTAAATTAGGTCTCCCCAGAGACCTCACAAGCCCACCTGGACTACACACCCAATGTCAGAACTGTTCAAGGTGAATACAAGGTCCAGCCCTGCTGGTTCATCCTCTTTCTCTCAGGTAGTGTCCCTAACATGTTAATATATATGACTTTCCAGTACCACCTCCATCATCATGACTCTCCATGTTTCTTGACCCCCATGTGGCTGCATGTTTTCCCAGTCAGTCTCATTGTGCTTGAAATCCCCCATAACAAGTAACTTTGCCCTGGCCGCCTCAGCTATTGTGTCCACCATTGCTCTAGTGATCTCATACTCTTGTCTTGGTCTCCTGCTGTTTGGTGGTGGGTTGTACATCACTGCTCTCATCACCTTGGGACCCCAGTCTTAAGTGTTTCTACTATGTAGTCATCTGCTTCCCCTCTGACCAGTCCTCCCATCTCAAAAGTCCACTGGTTTTTGATGAGCAGTGCAACTCTCCTGCCCATCTGTTTCCTCTGTCTTTCCTCAGGATCTGATATCCAGCCAGGAAGATCACATATGTTATCTCTGTTATCTACATGAGCTTTGTTTCTGTGAGTGCTGTGATGTCTGGGGATGCCTCCATTACTCGTTATTGCCACTCCTCATCCTTATTTCTTATTTTCTGTGTGTGTGCATGTGCTTGCACATGCACACACTCACCTATTACTCCAATATATATTGCAGGGGTCATTGAGTCTCAGCTCCTGGCCCCGTGCTTGCATACATAGAGAGGTGTACATATATAAATGTTTCTTGACAGCCAAGCCATGATCCGGGCCAGGATGGTGAGAGAGAATGGTAAATATATACCTGAACAAGCATTCCTTATGAGACGACACTTCTTCAACAACGATGAGTCAGGTAATGTTGGGTTTGACACCTTGTCTGACTTATGTTGTGTTTTTGACAGCTTATTAGACCTATGTAGTGTATATTTGACAGATTATTAGACCTATGTAGTGTATATTTGACAGATTATTAGACCTATGTAGTGTATATTTGACAGATTATTAGACCTATGTAGTGTATATTTGACAGATTATTAGACTTATGTAGTGTATATTTGACAGATTATTAGACCTATGTAGTGTATATTTGACAGATTATTAGACCTATGTAGTGTATATTTGACATTATTAGACCTATGTAGTGTATATTTGACAGATTATTAGACCTATGTAGTGTATATTTGACATCGTTAGACCTATGTAGTGTATATTTGACAGATTATTAGACCTATGTAGTGTATATTTGACAGATTATTAGACCTCTGTGGTGTATATTTGACAGATTATCAGACTTACGTTGTGTATGTTTGACAGGTTACCTGAAGACAGTGACTCACGTAATGTATGTTTGACAGGTTACCTGAAGACAGTGACTCATGTATGTTTGACAGGTTACCTGAAGACAGTGACTCACGTAATGTATGTTTGACAGGTTACCTGAAGACAGTGACTCATGTATGTTTGACAGGTTACCTGAAGACAGTGACTCATGTATGTTTGACAGGTTACCTGAAGACAGTGACTCATGTATGTTTGACAGGTTACCTGAAGACAGTGACTCATGTATGTTTGACAGGTTACCTGAAGAAAGTGACTCGTGTATGTTTGACAGGTTACCTGAAGAAAGTGACTCGTGTATGTTTGACAGGTTACCTGAAGAAAGTGACTCGTGAAATGTTTGACAGGTTCCCTTTGAAGAAAGTGACTCGTGTATGTTTGACAGGTTACCTGAAGACAGTGACTCGTGTAATGTATGTTTGACAGGTTACCTGAAGACAGTGACTCGTGTAATGTATGTTTGACAGGTTACCTGCAGACAGTGACTCGTGTAATGTATGTTTGACAGGTTACCTGCAGACAGTGACTCGTGTAATGTATGTTTGACAGGTTACCTGAAGACAGTGACTCGTGTAATGTATGTTTGACAGGTTACCTGAAGACAGTGACTCGTGTAATGTATGTTTGACAGGTTACCTGAAGACAGTGACTCGTGTAATGTATGTTTGACAGGTTACCTGAAGACAGTGACTCACGTCACGTATGTTTGACAGGTTACCTGAAGACAGTGACTCATGTAATGTATGTTTGACAGGTTACCTGAAGACATTTGCCCTCATGTAAGTATGTTTGACAGGTTACCTGAAGACAGTGACTCGTGTAATGTATGTTTGACAAGTTACCTGAAGACAGTGACTCGTGTAATGTAATGTTTGACAGGTTACCTGAAGACAGTGACTCGTGTAATGTATGTTTGACAGGTTACCTGAAGACAGTAAAGCGAGCTTCAGCACCACAACCCATGACTGACCCTAATATAATGGTCGAGATGTTGAAGGGGCAGTTGACCAACATGTTGCCCATGATTGCTATTGGTGGATGGATCAACTGGACATTCTCAGGCTTCGTTACTAGTAGGTTACATCTACTGTGTTACACTGCGTTACTAGCATGTTATACTGTGTTGATAGGTTACCAGCGTGTTACCAATATGTGACACCGTTGTTATCTTGCTGATAGCTAAAGTACCGTTCCCGCTGACGCTGAGATTCAAGCCCATGCTGCAGCGGGGTATCGAGCTGGTATCGCTGGATGCTTCCTGGGTATCGTCAGCATCCTGGTACTTCCTCAATGTATTTGGTCTGCGCTCCATCTATACCCTGGTACTGGGCGAGAATAATGGTGAGTATCTCTGCATACCAGTATATTACCAGTATTATACTACCAGTATTATACTAGTATTATACTACCAGTATTATACTACCAGTATTATAATACCAGTATTATACTAGTATTATACTACCAGTATTATACTACCAGTATTATACTACCAGTATTATACTACCAGTATTATTCTACCTGTATTATACTACCAGTATTAAAATACCAGTATTATACTAGTATTATAACTACCTTTTATACTACCAGTATTATATTTCCAGTATTATTCTAGTATTATACTACCAGTATTATTACTAGTATTATACTACCAGTATTATACTACCAGTATTTATATTTGTATTATACTACCAGTATTATACTACCAGTGTTATACTACCAGAATTATACTACCAGTATTAAACTGGTATTATACTACCAGTATTATACTACCAGTATTATACTGGTATTATACTACCAGTATTATTCTAGTATTATACTACCAGTATTATACTACCAGTATTAACCTACCAGTAATTATACTACCAAATATTATACTACCAGTATTATACTACCAGTATTATACTACAAGTATTTTACTACCAGTATTATACTACCAGTATTTTACTACCAGTATTATACTACCAGTATTATACTACAAGTATTATACTACCAGTATTATACTACCAGTATTATACTACAAGTATTATGCTACCAGTATTATAACTACCAGTATTAACTGCCAGTATTATACCTACTAATGTTATACTACTTAATTTTTAAACTACTAGTATTATACTTCCAGTATTATACTACCAGTATTATACTACCAGTATTATACTACTAATATTATACTACTAGTATTATACTACCAGTATTATACTACCAGTATTATACTACTAATATGCTACTAGTATTATACTACCAGTATTATACTACTAATATTATACTACCAGTATTATACTACCAGTATTATACTACTAATATTATACTACCAGTATTATACTACTAATATTATACTACCAGTATTATACTACCAGTATTGTAATACCAGTATTATACTACCAGTATTATACAACCAGTATTATGCTACCAGTATTATACTACCAGTATTATACTACCAGTATTATACTACTAGTATTCTACCAGTATTATACTACTAATATACTACCAGTATTATACTACTAGTATTATACTACCAGTATTATACTACCAGTATTATACTACTAGTATTATACTACCAGTATTATACTACTAGTATTATACTACTAGTATTATACTACCAGTATTATACTACCAGTATTATACTACCAGTATTATACTACCAGTATTATACTACCAGTATTATACAAACCAGTATTATAATACTATATTATATACCAGTATTATACTACCATAAAATACTCCCAAGTGTTATATTTACCAGTATTAAAATATTAATATTATACTACTAGTATTATACTACCAGTATTATACTAATATTATACTGGCAGTATTATACTACTAATATTATAATACTAGTATTAATTATACTACAATATTATACTACTAGTTTTATACTAACCAGTATTATACTACTAATATTATACTGCCAGTATTATACTACCAGTATTATACTACCAGTATTATACTACCAGTATACTACCAGTATTATACTACTAATATTATACTACTAATATTATACTACCAGTATTAAAACTCAGTATTAACTACCAGTATTGTAATATCAGTATTATACTCCCAGTATTTTACAACCAGTATTATACTACCAGTATTATACTACCAATATTATACTACCAGTATTATACTACCAGTATTATACTACCAGTATTATACTACCAGTATTATACTACCAGTATTATAACAAACCAGTTTTATACTACCAGAAATATACTACCAGTATTTTTACTACCATTTGTTTATACTACTATTATACTCCCATATTATACTACCAGTATTATACTAACCAGTATTATACTACTAATATTAAAAACTACTAGTATTATACTACCAGTTATTAAACTAATATTATACTGGCAGTATTATACAAATAATATTAATACTAGTATTATACTACTAATATTATACTACTAATATTATACTCCTAATATTATACTCCTAATATTATACTACCAGTATTATACTACCAGTATTATACTACCAGTATTATACTACCAATATTATACTACAAATATTATTCTACCAGTATTATACTACCAGTATTATACTACCAGTATTATACTACTAATATTATACTACTAGTATTATACTACCAGTAGTATACTAATATTATACTGGCAGTATTATACTACTAATATTATACTACTAGTATACTACCAGTATTATACTACTAATATACTACCAGTATTATACTACCAGTATTATTCTACCAGTATTATACTACCAGTATTATACTACTAATATTATACTACTAGTATTATACTACTAGTATTATACTACTAATATTATATTACCAGTATTATACTACCAGTATTATACTACCAGTATTATACTACCAGTATTATACTACTATTATACTACTCGTATTATACTACCAGTATTATACTACCAGTATTATACTACCAGTATTATACTACTAATATTATACTGCCAGTATTATACTGCCAGTATTATACTACCAGTATTATACTACTAGTATACTACTACTAGTATACTACCAGTATTATACTACCAGTATTATACTAGTATTATACTACCAGTATTATACTACCAGTATTATACTACTAGTATTATACTACTAAATTATACTACTAGTATTATACTTCCAGTATTATACTACCAGTATTATACTACCAGTATTATACTACTAGTATTATACTAGTATTATACTACCAGTATTATACTACCAGTATTATACTACCAGTATTATACTACCAGTATTATACTACCAGATTATTCTAGTATTATACTACCAGTATTATAATACCAGTATTATACTAGTATTATACTACCAGTATTATACTACCAGTATTATACTACCAGTATTATTCTAGTATTATACTACCAGTATTATACTAGTATTATACTACCAGTATTATACTACCAGTATTATACTAGTATTATACTACCAGTGTTATACTACCAGAATTATACTACCAGTATTAAACTGGTATTATACTACCAGTATTATACTACCAGTTTTATACTGGAAATTATACTACCAGTATTATTCTAGTATTATACTACCAGTATTATACTACCAGTATTAACCTACCAGTATTATACTACCAGTATTATACTACCAGTATTATACTACCAGTATTATACTACAAGAAATTTACTACCAGTATTATACTACCATTTTTTCTTACTACCAGTATTTACTACCAGTATTATACTACCAGTATTATACTACCAGTATTATACTACCAGTATTATACTACCAGTATTATACTACAAGTATTATACTACCAGTATTATACTACCAGTATTATACTGCCAGTATTATACTACTAATGTTATACTACTAATATTATACTACTAGTATTATACTTCCAGTATTATATACCAGTATTATACTACAGAAATTAACTCTAATTTTATACTACTAGTATTATACTACCAGTATTATACTACAGTATTATACTACTAATATGCTACTAGTATTATACTCTCCATATTATACTACTAATTATACTACCAGTATTTAACTACCAGTAATTTATAATACTAATATTATACTACCAGTATTAACTACTAATATTATTACTACCAGTATTATATACCATATTGTAATACCAGTATTATATACCAGAAATTATACAACCAGTATTATGCTCCCAGTATTATACTACAGTATTTACTACCAGTATTTTTACTACTAGTATTCTACCAGTATTATACTACTAATTTACTACCATATTATACTACTAGTATTATACTCCCAGTATTAAACTACAGTTTTATACTACTAGTATTTACTAAATATTATTATACTACTAGATTATACTCCCAGTATTATACTACCATAATTAGCTACCAGAAATTATACTACCAGTATTATAATACCAGTATTATACTACTAGTATTATACTACCAGTATTATAATACTAGTATTATACTACCATTTAATATTACTACCAGTATTATACTCCCAGTGTTATACTACCCGTTTTATACTATTAATATTATACTACTAGTATTATACTACCATATTATACAATTATTATTCCCTGGCAGTATTATACTACTAATTTATACTACAAGAAATTATACTACTAATATTATACTACTATAATTATATTTACCAGTTTTAAATACTACTAATATTTATACTGCCAGTATTTTATACTACCAGTATTATACTCCCAGTATTATACTACCAGTATAACTCCCAGTATTATACTACTAATATTATACTACAAATTTTTTATACTACCATATTATACTACCAGTATTATACTCCCAGTATTATACTACAGTTTTATACTACCAGTATTATACTAACCAGTATTATACTACCCGTATTATACTACCAATATTATACTCCCAAAGTATTATACTCCGTATTTATACTACCAGTATTATACTACCAGTATTATACTACCAGTATTATACTACCAGTATTATACTACCAGTATTATACTACCAGTGTTAACTACTATTATACTGCAGTATTATACTACCAGTATTATTACTCCCAGTATTATACTACTAATATTATACTACTATATTTATACTACCAGTATTATACTAATATTATACTGGCAGTAATTATACTACTAATATTATACTAGTATTATACTACTAATATTATACTATAATATTATACTCCTAATATTATACTCCTAATATTATACTACCCAGTATTTATAATACCAGTATTATACAAACCAGTATTTTTAACTCCCAATATTATACTAAATATTATTTCTACCAGTATTATACTACCAGTATTTATACTCCCAGTATTAACTACTAAATATTATACTACTAGTTTTAAATACTACAGTAGTATACTAATATTATACGGCAGTATTATACTACAATATTATACTCCCAATATTATACTACTAGTATACTCCCAATTTTATACTACTAAATATACTACCAGTATTATTACTAACGTATATTCTACCATTTATTATACTCCAGTATTATACTATAATATTATATACAAAGTAATACTACTAGTATTATACTACTAATCATTATTTTAAACCGTATTATACTACCAGTATTTATACCAGTATTATACTACAGTATTATACCTACTATTATACTACTCGTATTATATACCAGTATTATATTTACCATATTATACTAACCAGTATTATACTACAAATTTTAAATACTGCCCAGTAATTATACTGCCATATTATCTACCTATTATTATATTAGTATATACTACTATATACTACCAGTATTATACTACCAGTATTTTTAATAGTATTATACTACCAGTATTATACTACCAGTATTATACTACAGTATTATACTACTAATATTATACTACTATTTATTATACTTCCAGTATTATACTCCCTTATTATACTACCAGTATTATAACTACTATATTATAATCCATATTATACTACCAGTATATAATCTACAATATTATACTGCCAGTATTATTACGAGTATTATAACTACAGTATTATACTCCAGTATTATACAACTAGTATTATACTACCAGTATTATACTACCATTTATTATACTACCATTTTTATACAACCAGTATTATACTACTAGTATTTAATATACCGTATTATACTACCAGTATTATACTACTAATATTTACTGCCAGTATTTTTACTAACAGTATTATACTAGTATTATACTACCAGTATTAAAACAAACCAGTTTTATATACTGTAATACTACTAAATTATACTATAGTATTATACTTCCATATTATATTACCATATTATACTACCATTATTTATACTATAGTATTATACTTCCAGTAAAATATACCAGTATTAATACTAATATTATACTGCGATTATACTACGAGTATTATAGCTACCAGTATAATACCATATTTACTACAATATTAACTACCATATTATACTACCATATTATACTACCAGTATTATAATACCATATTATACTACGTTTATACTAACAGTATTATACTACAGTTTTATATTTTAACTAATATTATACTGCCAGTTATTATACTACCAGTATTGTACAAAACCAGTATTTATACTACAAATTTATACACTAGTATTAAAACTACCAGTATTATACTACCAGTATTATACACCAGATTATTATACTAATATTATATACTAATATTATACTACCAGTATTTTTACTACCAGTATTATACTACCAGTTTTTATACTCCCATATTATACTACCAGTATTATACTACCAGTTTTAACTCTAATATTATACTACCTGTATTATACTACCAGTATTAATACTAACCAGTTTATTACTACCATTATATACTACCGTATTATACTACATTATACTCCAGTTTATAACTACCAGTATTATACTACAAAATTTACTGCTGTATTATACTACCAGTATTATATAATATATACTGGCGTATTAACTACTAAATTATACTACTAGTATTATACTACCAGTATTTACTACTAATATTATACTGCCGTATTAATACTACCATTTATTGTACTACCAGTATTATACTTCCAGTAATATACTACCAGTATTATACTACCGAAATTATACTACAAATTCAAAAATACCAGTATTATACTACACGTATTATACTAAACAGCTATTATTACCGATTTAACCTACTAATATTAATTTATACTAATTTATACTCCTAATATTATACTCCAGTATTATACTCCCCGAAATTATACTACCAGTATTATACTCCAGTATTATACTACAAAATATTATTCTACCAGTATTATACTACCAGTATTATACTACTAATATTATACTACTAGTATTATACTACCAGTAATGTACTAATATTATACTGGCAGTATTATACTACTAATATTATACTACTAGTATTATACTACCAGTATTGTACTACCAGTATTATACTACCAGTATTATACTACTAGTATTATACTACTAATATTATACTACCAGTATTATACTACCAGTATTATACTACCAGTATTATACTACTAATATTATTCTACCAGTATTATACTACCAGTATTATACTACCAGTATTATTCTACTAATATTATACTACTAGTATTATACTACCAGTAATTTTACTAATATTATACTGGCCAGTATTATACTACTAATATTTACTACTAGTATTATACTACAAATTTATTATACTACTAGTATTATACTACCAGTATTATACTACTAATATACTACCAGTATTATACTACCAGTATTATACTACCAGTATTATACTACTAATATTATACTACTAGTATTATACTACTAGTATTATACTACTAATATTATACTACCAGTATTTATAACTACCATTATTATATACCATTTTATTTTACCAGTATTATACTACCAGTATTTTAACTACTATTATATTTACTAGTATTAAAACTACCAGTATTATACTACCAGTATTATACTACCAGTATTATACTACCAGTTTTATACACCAGAAATTATACTACCGTAATTATACTACTAATATTATACTGACAGTATTATACTGCCAGTATTAACTACCAGTATTATACTACTAGTATACTCCCAGTATTATACACCAGTTTTTATACTACCAGTTATTATGCTACTAGTATTATACCCCAGTATTATACTACCAGTATTATACTACTAGTATTATACACTAATATTATACAACTATTATTAACTACCAGTATTATACTACCAGTAATTATACTACCAGTATTATACTACTAATATTATACTGCCAGTATTATACTACCAGTATTATACTACCAGTATTATACTTACCATATTATACTACTGATATTATACTACTATTTATTATACTACCAGTATTATACTACCAGTATTATACTACCAGTATTATACTACTAGTATTATACTACCAGTATTATACTACCAGTATTATACTACTAATATTATACTGCCAGAAATTTTTTACTACCGGGATTATACTACCAGTATTATACTACTAATATTATACTACCAGTATTATACTACCAGTATTATACTACCAGTATTATACTACCAGTATTTTACTACTAATATTATACTACTAATTTTATACTACCAGTATTATACTACCAGTATTAATACTACCAGTATTATACTACCAGTTTTATACTACTAATATTATATTTAAAAAATATTATACTGCCAGTATTATACTACCAGTATTATACTACCTGTATTATACTACCTGTATTATACTACCAGTATTATACTACCAGTATTATACTGCCAGTATTATACTACCAGTATTATACTACTAATATTATACTACCAGTATTATACTACTAATATTATACTACTAATATTATACTACCAGTATTATACTACTAATATTATACTACTAAATTATACTACCAGTATTATACTACCAGTATTATATACCAGTATTATACTACCAGTATTATACTGCGAGTATTATACAAACCAGTATTTTTACTGCTAATATTATACTACCGTATTATACTACTAATATTATACTACCAGTATTATTCTACTAATATTATACTACTAATATTATACTACCAGTATTATACTACTAATATTATACTACTAATATTATACTACAAAAATTTACTACCAGTTTTTAAAACAAACCAGTATTATACTACCTGTATTTTTACTGCCAGTTTTATACTACCAGTATTATACTACCAGTATTATACTACTAATATTATACTACTAATATTATACTACCAGTATTATACTACCAGTATTATACTACCAGTATTATACTACCAGTATTATACTGCCAGTATTATACTACCAGTATTATACTGCTAATATTATACTACCAGTATTATACTACTAATATTATACTACTAATATTATACTACCAGTATTATACTACCAGTATTATACTACCAGTATTATACTGCTAATATTATACTACCAGTATTATACTACTATTATTTATATACTAATATTATACTACCGTATTATACTACCATTATTATACTGCCAGTATTATATACCAGTATTATACTGCTAATATTATAACTAACTAATATTAAAACTACTAATATTATACTACCAGTATTATACTACCAGTATTATACTACCAGTATTATACTACCAGTATTATACTACCAGTATTATACTGCCAGTATTATACTACCAGTATTATACTGCAAATATTATACTTACCATTATTATACTACTACTATTATACTACTAATATTAAAACTACCAGTTTTATACTACCAGTATTATACTACCATATTATACTGCCATTTATTATACTAACCAGTATTATACTGCTAATATTATACTAACCCAGTATTATACTACTATTATTATACTACTAATATTATACTACCAGTATTATACTACCAGTATTCTACCAGTATTGCTCTCATACTGTCAGCTACCAGTATTGTTCTCTCACTGTCAGCTGCTGACACTACCAGTATTGTTCTCTCACTGTCAGCTGCTGACACTACCAGTATTGTTCTCTCACTGTCAGCTGCTGACACTACCAGTATTGTTCTCTCACTGTCAGCTGCTGCCCACTACCATTTTGTTCTCTCACTGTCAGCTACTGACACTACCAGTATTTTTTTCCCCTTCACTGTCAGCTGCTGACACAACCAGTATTGTTCTCTCACTTCAGCTGCTGACATACCAGTATTGTTCTCTACTGTCAGCTGCTGACACAAACCAGTATGTTCTCTCACTGTCAGCTGCTGACACTACCAGTATTGTTCTCACTGTCAGCTGTGACACTACCCAGTATTTTTTTTTTTTCTCTCACTGTCAGCTGCTGACACTACCAGTATTGTTCTCTCACTGTCAGCTGCTGACACTACCAGTATTGTTCTCTCACTGTCAGCTGCTGACACTACCAGTATTGTTCTCTCACTGTCAGCTGCTGACACTACCAGTATTGTTCTCTCACTGTCAGCTGCTGACCAGGCCAGGATGATGGAAGAGCAGATGTCAGGAGCGGCCATGGCCATGCCTCAGGACCCTAAGGTGGCCTTCAAGGCCGAGTGGGAGGCCCTGGAGATCTCTGAACACAAGTGGGCACTCAGGGAGGTTGAGCTCGATCTCCTGGCCAAGCTGGACCTCCACTCAACCTCTTCCTTCAACTCTCACTCTTACGCTACTGCTACATAGGGCTCAGACTTCTCTACACGCAAGAAGAGGGGGATTTATTGAATCTTCTAAGTTAAGGAGGATTTACCGTTTTAAAAAAGGATTTACTATGTATTAAAGGGGATTTACAGTGTATTCAAAGGGATTTACATCCATTAAAGGGGATTTACTTTCATTAAAGGGGATTTACGTCTATTAAAGGGGATTTACTGTGTATTAAAAGGGATTAACTACCATTACTGTGTTTTAAAGAGGATTTACTGTTTTCTCCATTTTAAAGAGGATTTATTAAGTTATTGGGAGAATTATGGCAGTAAAATAATTGTCAAGGATGACCACTGAGTTATCTGATGGACCACTGAGTTATCTGATGGACCACTGAGTTATCTGATGGACCACTGAGTTTTTCTGATGGACCACTTTATTATCTGTTTGGGCCATGAGTTATCTGATGGACCACTGAGTTATCTGATGGACCACTGAGTTATCTGATGGACCACTGAGTTATCTGATGGACCACTGAGTTATCTGATGGACCAAGAGTTATTGATGGACCCCTGAGTTTATCTGATGGACCACTGAGTTATCTGATGGACCACTGAGTTATCTGGTGGACCACTGAGTTATCTGATGGACCACTGAGTTATCTGATGGACCACTGAGTTATCTGATGGACCACTGAGTTATCTGATGGACCACTGAGTTATCTGATGGACCACTCAGTTATCTGATGGACCTCGAGTTTCTGGTGGACCACTGAAGTTATCTGATGGACCATGAGTTATCTGGTGGACCAATGAGTTATCTGATGGACCCCTGAGTTATCTGATGGACCACTTTAGTTATCTGGTGGAAACCATTGAGTTATCTGATGGACCACTGAGTTATCTGGTGGACCACTGAGTTATCTGATGGACCACTGAGTTATCTGATGGACCACTGAGTTATCTGATGGACCACTGAGTTATCTGATGGACCACTGAGTTATCTGATGGACCACTGAGTTATCTGAGGGACCACTGAGTTATCTGGTGGACCAATGAGTTATCTGATGGACCACTGAGTTATCTGATGGACCACTGAGTTATCTGGTGGACCACTGAGTTATCTGGTGGACCACTGAGTTATCTGATGGACCACTGAGTTATCTGGTGGACTACCCTGTTATCTGATGGACCACTGAGTTATCTGATGGACCACTCAGTTATCAGATGGAGCACTCAGTTATCTGGTGGACCACTCAGTTATCTGATGGACCACTCGGACCACTCAGTTATCTGATGGACCACTTAGTTATCTGATGGACCACTGAGTTATCTGATAGACCACTCAGTTATCTGATAGACCACTCAGTTATCTGATGGACCACTCAGTTATCTGATGGACCACACAGTTATCTGGTGGACCACTCAGTTATCTGATGGACCACTGAGTTATCTGATGGAAAACTCAGTTATCTGGTGGACCACTCAGTTATCTGATGGACCACTGAGTTATCTGATGGAAAACTCAGTTATCTGGTGGACCACTCAGTCATCTGGTGGACCACTCAGTTATCTGATGGACCACTGAGTTATCTGATGGAACACTCAGTTATCTGGTGGAACCACTCAGTTATCTGATGGACCACTGAGTTATCTGATGGAACACTCAGTTATCTGGTGGACCACTCAGTTATCTGATGGACCACTGAGTTATCTGATGGAACACTCAGTTATCTGGTGGACCACTCAGTTATCTGATGGACCACTGAGTTATCTGATGGAACACTCAGTTATCTGGTGGACCACTCAGTCATCTGGTGGACCACTGAGTTATCTGATGGAACACTCAGTTATCTGGTGGACCACTCAGTCATCTGGTGGACCACTCAGTTATCTGATGGAACACTCAGTTATCTGATGGACCACTCAGTTATCTGATGGAACACTCAGTTATCTGGTGGACCACTCAGTTATCTGATGGACCACTGAGTTATCTGATGGAACACTCAGTTATCTGGTGGACCACTCAGTCATCTGGTGGACCACTCAGTTATCTGATGGAACACTCAGTTATCTGGTGGACCACTCAGTCATCTGGGGGGCCCACTCAGTTATCTGATGGACCACTGAGTTATCTGATGGAACACTCAGTTATCTGGTGGACCACTCAGTTATCTGATGGACCACTCAGTTATCTGATGGAACACTCAGTTATCTGGTGGACCACTCAGTCATCTGGTGGACCACTCAGTTATCTGATGGACCACTGAGTTATCTGATGGAACACTCAGTTATCTGGTGGACCACTCAGTTATCTGATGGACCACTCAGTTATCTGATGGACCACTCAGTTATCTGGTGGACCACTCAGTCATCTGGTGGACCACTCAGTTATCTGATGGACCACTGAGTTATCTGATGGAACACTCAGTTATCTGGTGGACCACTCAGTTATCTGGTGGACCACTGAGTTATCTGATGGAACACTGAGTTATCTGATGGAACACTCAGTTATCTGGTGGACCACTCAGTTATCTGGTGGACCACTCAGTTATCTGATGGACCACTGAGTTATCTGATGGAACACTCAGTTATCTGGTGGACCACTCAGTTATCTGATGGACCACTCAGTTATCTGATGGAACACTCAGTTATCTGGTGGACCACTCTGTTATCTGGTGGACCACTCTGTTATCTGGTGGACCACTGAGTTATCACTTGGTGGTCCATCCTGGACAACCTCAAGTTCTCTCAGCAGTTGTCAGTCATCACAGTCATCAGTGTTAGAGAATAAAAGTACAATGATAGATAGTCTATCAGTTATCCCTAATTAGTTATCACTGACCACAAGAGAAGTTATCTCTGATAACACAGGTCTATGATAACTTGCACTGCCAGTCATCAAGGAAGTGTTCGCTACCAGCAGAACACTGCGACACAGCAGCTTTGAAGCCGATCCACCTCTTCCAGGAGGGTTCCTTGCTCTGGTGAAGAGCACCTCGGTCTGAAGAACTGGTCTTTTTGGTCTAACACTCCTTCTGTCCTACTTTTGGCCTTTGGGGGTATACCTGCAGGGTGTTTCAGGGTCAACACCCCTGTGACCTGGTCCCTCGTGGTCAACCAGGCTATTACTGCTGGCTGCATGTAAACCAACAGGAACCATAGCCCAGCTGGTCAGGTACTGACTTCAATTGTGTGAAAGTAATAAAGCTTAAACTTGAGGGCCCCTAACCCCCGGAGGGGCCCCAGAAGCCACTTGAGTCCACTTTAAAAATTTTGAGTCTTTGGTATGAGAAAGGGCTGCAAAGGGGCACCGTAACACTTCAAGCTCCAGGGCCCCAAAATGTAGGTCCACCCCTGTCCTCCCCTGGAAATTGTAGGCACTGTGCCCCACAAGGGAGGTTCCTCGATGCTGGTGAGAGGCTCTTGATCTAGGGAATTGGATCTGTGCTGCAGTCCTCTGAATACCTTCCATGCCCCCCCCCACACAGGCGCTGTATAATCCCTACGAGTTTAGTGCTCCCCCATAATTCAATTCTAGCCCCTGGGTCGAGGAAAGGATGTCGTTATCCTGTACCATTAAGATTCTCAGTGGTATTGTTATGGAATCTGGATCATCTGGGGATGTGGTGATCCACACCCTGGAGTCCTGGAAGGTGGCTTAGGGAGTCCTTCAGGTGTCTGGTGAATCTCTGGAGGTGGTGGTTGAAGGAGGTATATCTTGTGGTGGGCTACCCCACAAAGGGTAGGCTGAGGGGGTGAGGGGCTCTTGATTTAGGGAATTGGATCTGTGGTCCAGTTCCCCGAATTAAGCCTGAATGCCTTCCACATCCCCCCCTCCCAGGCGCTGTATAATCGTCCGGGTTTAGCGCTTCCCCCTTGATTATAATAATAATAATGCCAACCATCTTCTCTTGTCCACTGAGGATGGCTCAGTGGACATGAGGTTGTTATCCTGGCTTGCTGGTCTACCAGCATGAAAGATAAGGTATGGCATGAGTTCCACACTGCCAGCCACACTGTTGGTCCTCTCGGGCGCAGAGGAGGATATACCATCTCTTTCACTTCTGTTACATATCCTTCCAAATACAGTGGACCCCCGCTTAACAATCACCTCCCAATGCGACCAGTTATGTAAGTGTATTTATGTAAGTGCGTTTGTACGTGTATGTTTGGGGGTCTGAAATGGACTAATCTACTTCACAATATTTCTTATGGGAACAAATTCGGTCAGTACTGGCACCTGAACATACTTCTGGAGTGAAAAAATATCGTTAACCGGGGGTCCACTGTATTCCTTTTTTTTTTTTTTAAAGAAAACACAAGAAACTTTATCATAAAGACACATGTCCCTGAAATTCCTCCTACGGCGCCGTCTCAAGGCTGTGACCCGTCACTGGACCACTCTAATAACCTGTTAACTTCTTAAGGTAACAGTTTCTTGCCTTCCGGTACAAACTTCTGACAGACCACTTTGATACATCACACCTCCACGTGACACTTACTATGCTTCCGGCTTCTCCGTCGACAGTCAGACGATTTTGAGATCCCCACCACGTCACAGGATGAACCACTTCTGGTCCCTCAATTAAACCACCACGACCGGTAAGATGACACTCCCAGTTACTTCTCGCTCTTCCCGGTAATAACCTACACTATAGTTTCTACCTCCACACTCTACAAGCAATGTCACGGTACAAGCATCGTCACGGTGCAAGCAATGTCACGGTACAAGCATCGTCACGGTGCAAGCAATGTCACGGTACAAGCATCGTCACGGTGCAAGCAATGTCACGGTACAAGCATCGTCACAGTGCAAGCAATGTCACGGTACAAGCATCGTCACAGTGCAAGCAATGTCACGGTACAAGCATCGTCACAGTGCAAGCAATGTCACGGTACAAGCATCGTACACAGTGCAAGCAATGTCACGGTACAGCATCGTCACAGTGCAAGCAATGTCACGGTACAAGCATCGTCACAGTGCAAGCAATGTCACGGTACAAGCATCGTCACAGTGCAAGCAATGTCACGGTACAAGCATCGTCACAGTGCAAGCAATGTCACGGTACAAGCATCGTCACAGTGCAAGCAATGTCACGGTACAAGCATCGTCACAGTGCAAGCAATGTCACGGTACAAGCATCGTCACAGTGCAAGCAATGCACGGTACAAGCATCGTCACAGTGCAAGCAATGTCACGGTACAAGCATCGTCACGGTGCAAGCAATGTCACGGTACAAGCAATGTCA